TTTTTACCAAAATTATCTGAAAATTTACTTGAAATTTTAAAAGATAATGAATTTTATGATATTACTATTGAAGTTGGTAATGACCCTTACGTAAAAATTTTTCGAGCTCATATGGTCATTTTAAATTATCGTTCCACTTATTTGAGAAGAATCTTATCAACTAACGTTAATAGAAATAATAATGATGGAAGTTTGACGCATATTAAATTACCAAATATTTCACCGGAAATTTTTGAAATGATCTTAAGGTGAGTAAATTTTTTTTTTAGAAAAAAAAAAATATTTTAAATTTTACGGAAATATTCAAATTTTTCGTTTAATATTTCGTTTAAGATATATTTATGGGGGAAGACTTTCTTTAGAAGAATATGATACTTCAGATATAATTAAAATTTTGGTCGCTTCCAGTGAACTTAGCCTTCAAGAATTAATCCCTCATTTACAATTATTTTTGATCGAAAAAAAAAAAAATTGGATGGAACAAAATTTTAATTTAATATATAAAACAAGTTTTGAAAATAATTCTTTCTTAAAATTACAAGATTTTTGTACAGAATTAATAACTAAAGAACCAGAAAAAATTTTTAATTCAGTCGATTTTATTTCACTTTCAGGAAAATCTTTGATTTCTCTTATTCAACATGATAATATTCAAAAGAATGTTATTCAAGTTTGGGAACATGTACTTAAATGGGGTATCGCTCAAAATCCTGGACTTTCTTCAGATCCTTCTAGTTATTCAAAAGATGATTTTATTAATTTAAAAAATAATTTACAACAATTTATTCCTTTTATTAATTTCTTTAATTTAACTTCTAAAGAATATTTAGATAAAGTATATCCGTATAAAAAAGTCATACCAAAAGATTTACGTGAAAATTTATTTAAATATTTTATGGATCAGCAAAGTAATAACCCAGAACCAAATATAATAAATGAAGAGACTAGTTCAAAAAATATTGATTCAAAAATCATTACAATCAAACATGCTCAATTAATATCGAGATGGATTGATAGATTAGAAATCACTGACAGGATGGAAAATTCATATGACTTTAAGTTGATTCTTCGTGGATCTCGTGATGGGTTTTCGCCTAGTAAATTCCATGAGATTTGTGATAATCAATATCATACTATAACGATTATTAAAGTGGAAGATAGTAACGAAATCCTTGGAGGATATAATCCGATCATGTGGACATCTAATATTATTTGGGGTGTTACCAAAGATAGTTTTATATTCTCTTTTAAGAATAAGGAAAATATTGGAAATTATATTTTAAGCCGAGTAAAAAATGAAAATTATGCTATAGAAAATGACTCTTCCTTGGGGCCAACATTTGGTGATGGTGACCTTGAATTGAATGGAAAAAATCACAATAAGGCTTGTTATTATTCTAGAGTTTATGAAAAACAAATTAGAGAAACCGAAGATAATTTTTCTGTAGAAGAATATGAAATATTTCAAATAATAAAAGATTGATTAATAGTTCTAATGATTAAAGGTGCCAATGTTATATTTTCTGTATGTATTTCTTGTTATTTTTTAATTTTTAATAATTACCATTTAGGAGTAGTAAAATTTGTTTATCGGTTTTCGGTTTAATTAAAATTCTATTGTTAGCGGATTAGTTAAAATTTATACTTTACATAATCTATAATTGAAGTATTATTATTATTAGCATTATTGGCTTGTATATTTTGTATTTGACTAAAATTTTATTAAGGATGAAAATAAAAAATATTTTTTTTGAGGTGATCTGTATCTGTCTCTTATACACATCTAGATGTGTATAAGAGACAGAATTTATACTTTACATAATCTATAATTGAAGTATTATTATTATTAGCATTATTGGCTTGTATATTTTGTATTTGACTAAAATTTTATTAAGGATGAAAATAAAAAATATTTTTTTTGAGGTGATCTGTATGGTTAGTAACGCACATTATGAATTGAAAATTGATTTAGTAAATCATAAATGTATTTTTGTTTAATAATAGCAAAAAAATCAAATGAATGGAAAAAATTCAGGTTCTTTTTAATAAATATTTAAATGTTTGAAAATTTATAATCTCGACATAATTTAAAATTGGCGTCAATTAATAAAAATTTATTGGTGCTCTTATTATGCGCTGCAATATTATAAATTTGGTATGGTAATGAGCCTTTTACAGAAAAAAAGATGGAATATAAAAACGGATCGGCTTTTTTTATAGAGAGGAGTAACAATTCTTAATAATCACGTGATTTTGCCTTGAGTCAGGTGTTTCGGTATTTATGGGGTTTTGGGCTTGGCGCCGACAGTTCAACAATATTCTACTTTATTTCTCGCTCGAAAGTACTAATAATGTATGATAATAAATTTTTACCAAAATTATCACAAAATTTACTTGAAATTTTAAAAGATAATGAATTTTATGATATTACTATTGAAGTTGGTGATGACCCTTACGTAAAAATTTTTCGAGCTCATATGGTCATTTTAAATTATCGTTCCACTTATTTGCGAAGAATCTTATCAACTAGCGTTAGTAGAAATAATAATGATGGAAGTTTGACACATATTAAATTACCAAATATTTCACCGGAAATTTTTGAAATGGTCTTAAGGTGAGAGAATTGAAGTAAAAAGTTAGCGATTTTTTTTTTTAAAAAAAATAAAAAAATAGTTTAAATTTTTCAAATTTTTCGTTTAATATTTTCGGTTTAGATATATCTATGGGGGAAGACTTTCTTTAGAGGAATATGATACTTCGGATATAATTAAAATTTTGGTCGCTTCCAGTGAACTTAGTCTTCAAGAATTAATCCTTCATTTACAATTATTTTTGATCGAAAATAAAAAAAATTGGATGGAACAAAATTTTAACTTGATATATAAAACAAGTTTTGAAAATGATTCTTTCTTGAAATTACAAAATTTTTGTACAGAATTAATATCTAAAGAACCAGAAAAAATTTTTAATTCAGTCGATTTTATTTCACTTTCAGAAAAATGTTTGATTTCTCTTATTCAACATAATAATATTCAAAAGAATGTTATTCGAGTTTGGGAACATGTACTTAAATGGGGTATCGCTCAAAATTCTGAACTTTCTTCAGATCCTTCTAGTTATTCAAAAGATAATTTTATTACTTTAAAAAATAATTTGCAACAATTTATTCCTTTTATTAATTTCTTTAATTTAACTTCCAAAGAATATTTAGATAAAGTATATCCGTACAAAAAAGTCATACCAAAAGATTTACGTGAAAATTTATTTAAATATTTTATGGATCAGCAAAGTAATACCCCAGAACCAAAGATAATAATCAAAGAGACTAGTTCAAAAAGTATTGATTCAAAAATCATTACAATCCAACATGCTGAATTAATATCGAGATGGATTGATAGATTAGAGATTACTGACAGGATGGAAAATTCATATGACTTTAAGTTGATTCTTCGTGGATCTCGTGATGGGTTTTTGCCTAGTAAATTCCATGAGATTTGTGATAATCAATCTCATACTATAACAATTATTAAAGTGGAAGATAGCAACGAAATCCTTGGAGGATATAATCCGATCGTATGGAAATCTGATGATACATTTGGCGCTACTGAAGATAGTTTTATATTCTCTTTTAAGGATAAGGAAAATATTGAAAATTATATTTTAAGCCGAGTAAAGAGTGAACAATTTGCTATATACAATAGCTCTGTAACGGGTCCATGTTTTGGTGATGGTGACCTTGAATTGAGTGTAGAAAATTACAATCAAGGTTGTTATTATTCTGAAGTTTATGACAAACAAATTAGAGAAACCGAAGATAATTTTTCTGTAGAAGAATATGAAATATTTCAAATCATAAAAGATTAATTAATATTTCTAATGATTAAAGGTGCCAATGTATATATCCTGTATGATATATATATATTTCTTGTTATTTATTATTCTTATTTATCGGGTTAATTAAAATTCTATTGTTCGCGGATTATTCAAAATATATATTGTTTATTTATATTATATACTTTTACATAAGTCTAACGAGAGTTATAAATTGAAGTATTATTATTATTGTATATTTTGTATTTTGACAGTAAAATATTTATTAAAAATGAAAATAAAAAAAAAATATTTTGGTGATAATTTAAATAATAGTAATGCAACATTATGAATCGAAAATTGATTTAATAAATTGAATTATTCCAGATATTTCTTAATTTTCTCTCGTTGTAATCTCGCTCAGTAAAATTCGGCCACGGATCATGAAATTTTTATGTAGATCGGACCACGTGATTTTCATATAGAAATATGTGAAATTCCATACGTTACATTCCCATATATTTATCCTACGACTCCTACATTCGAATTACAGGGTATTTGGAAATATTGGAACTATTCAGATTTCCATATAATTCCACATGGAATTCCATGTGGATTTTACGTTTTACGTGGTAAACATTTCCTGATGAAGTCTGATTAAAGTTACTCCTTTTACATCAGCGCAATCAAAGTTCAAATCTTTCCAGTGATTTTTTCATCCCCACAGAGATAAAATCCTTCACACATACATCCTTCTGTGATTTATAAGTAACATTCTCATACATGTCTTCCATATTTTGATCACCTTCAAAATGTTTACTGAACGTTTGGCAATCATACCATCTTCGCAAAACATCAGTACTCTTAATATTGTAAGGAAAAAGCCATATGTAAATTTTGACCATTATTCTTTATAAAAGACGGAGTTTTTCCAAGGAGTTCGCCCTAAAAGAAATAAAAAAGAACGTTAATAAACGTTCTCAAATTAAAAAAAAAAATAATAAATATTTACCGGTACAATTTCAAGCCGTTCAAGGCTCCAATTCCAGTTTCCAAGGAGTCCGCCCTAAAGAGATAAAAAAAATTAAAAATATTTACCGAAATTTTGTAAAAATTTAGTGGAAAAAATTCAGGTTCTTTTCTTTATTAATAAATGGACTTGAAATAATATACAAACCTTCATTTATAATTGTTACTAATTTCAACATAAAGTTCGAGTTTAAAATTGGCGTCAATTAATAAAATTTATTAGTGCTCTTATTCTACACTTGCAATATTATAAGTAAATAAATTTGGTATATGGTTTTACGATAGGGAATAGGTTGGATAATTACTTCGTAACTCTAAAGAAAAACACTAATTAATAATATTAATAATGATAACAATCTTTAAAATTATTTTTTTTTAAAAATAGTACTAACCGCATAAGATTTTACAATTTCGGGCATATGTTTACGATACATGTCAGGAGCTATAAAGGCTCCAATTCCTCCAATAAATAAATAAATATTAATAACTACAGTACAATATTGTATTTTCGATCGTAATTACTGTTAATAGAACCATTTATCATCTCTCAATGATTTTGAAGTTCACTAAATCTATTTATTTTTTGCATAATATTTTATTTTTATTGTATCAAAAACTTTTTTCGTGGATAAAAGAAAAAATAATAATGTGTATAGAAAGACAAAAGCCATATAAAAATTTTATCCACAAAATCGATAAATTCTTGATATAAAGTTTTTAATTCTGGAAATAGGAGCCTTTTCGGAAAAAAGATAGAATATAAAACGGATGACTTTTTTTATAGGGAAGAGAAACATTCACCTCTTCTTCCTACTTGATCATTACGAATCGCAATTGCAAAGCTGATGACAACTACATTGAAGAAGAGGATAACTATATCCTACCTATAAAAAATTTTTCAGAAAAATGATCACGTGTTAAGTTTCTTCGGAAAAAAACTAGAAAAATGATCAGTTATCGAAGTTTTTTCCAGAATTTTATTTATAGCATAGTTAGGGATAAACTATGATGGTACAACAATGAAAACGTTCATTACGATGATGATGACGATGCGAAAGTTTAATAATCATGTGATTAACCTTGAGTCAGGTGTTTCGGTATTTTTGGGGTTTTGGGGACGAAATTTACCAATAAATCATTTATTATAGCTTGACGCGACAGTTCAACAATATTCTACTTTATCTCTCGCTCGAAAGTACTAATAATGTATGATAATAATTTTTTACCAAAATTATCTGAAAATTTACTTGAAATTTTAAAAGATAATGAATTTTATGATATTACTATTGAAGTTGGTAATGACCCTTACGTAAAAATTTTTCGAGCTCATATGGTCATTTTAAATTATCGTTCCACTTATTTGAGAAGAATCTTATCAACTAACGTTAATAGAAATAATAATGATGGAAGTTTGACGCATATTAAATTACCAAATATTTCACCGGAAATTTTTGAAATGATCTTAAGGTGAGTAAATTTTTTTTTTAGAAAAAAAAAAATATTTTAAATTTTACGGAAATATTCAAATTTTTCGTTTAATATTTCGTTTAAGATATATTTATGGGGGAAGACTTTCTTTAGAAGAATATGATACTTCAGATATAATTAAAATTTTGGTCGCTTCCAGTGAACTTAGCCTTCAAGAATTAATCCCTCATTTACAATTATTTTTGATCGAAAAAAAAAAAAATTGGATGGNTTGAAGTTGGTAATGACCCTTACGTAAAAATTTTTCGAGCTCATATGGTCATTTTAAATTATCGTTCCACTTATTTGAGAAGAATCTTATCAACTAGCGTTAATAAAAATCAAAATGATGGAAGTTTGACACATATTAAATTACCAAATATTTCACCAGAAATTTTTGAAATGATCTTAAGGTGAGAATTGGAGTAAAAAATTTAGCGATTTTTTTTTTTTAAAAAAAAAAACGAATATTTTTAATTTTACGAAAATATTCAAATTTTTCGTTTAATATTTTCGTTTTAGATATATCTACGGGGGAAGACTTTCTTTAGAAGAATATGATACTTCAGATATAATTAAAATTTTGGTTGCCTCCAGAGAACTTGGTCTTAAAGAATTAATCTCTCATTTACAATCCTTTTTGATCGAAAACAAAAAAGATTGGATGGAACAAAATTTTAACTTGATATATCAAACAAGTTACGAGAATGATTCTTTCTTGAAATTACAAAATTTTTGTACGGAGTTAATATCTAAAGAACCAGAAAAAATTTTTAATTCATTCAACTTTATTTCACTTTCAGAAAAATGTTTGATTTCTCTTATTCAGCATGATAATATTCAAAAGAATGTTATTCAAGGTTGGGAACATGTGCTTAAATGGGGTATCGCTCAAAATCCAGAACTTCCTTTGGATCCTTCTAGTTATTCAAAAGATGATTTTATTACTTTAAAAAATACTTTACAACAATTTATTCCTTTTATTAAATTTTTTAATTTAACTCCTAAGGAATACTTGTATAAAGTATATCCATATAAAAAGATTATACCAAAAGATTTACGTGAAAATTTATTCAAACATTTTATTGATCAACCGAAAAATAATCCAGAACCAAAGATAATAACCAAAGAGACTAGTTTAAAAAATATTGATTCAAAAATCATTACAATCAAACATGCTGAATTAATAACGAAATGGGTTGATAGATTAGAAATTACTGACAAGATGAAAAATTCATATGAATTTAAATTGATTCTTCGTGGATCTCGTGATGGGTTTTCGCCTAATAAATTCCATGAGATTTGTGATAATAAATCTCATACTATAACAATTATTAATGTGGGAGGGAGCAACGAAATCCTCGGAGGATATAATCCGATAATATGGAAATCTGATCGTAGCTTTGGCATTACTAAGGATAGTTTTATATTCTCTTTTAAGGATAAGGAAAATATTGAAAATTATATTTTAAGCCGAGTAAAGGATGAAAAATATGCTATTGAAAATGACACTAGATTTGGTCCATCTTTTGGTGATGGTGACCTTAAATTGCGTGGAAATAATTATAGTTGGAGTGTTTGTTGCTATACCGGATTTTATGACAAATTTATTAGAGAAGCCAGCGGTTTGTTTTCTGTAAAGGAATATGAAATATTTCAAATCATAGAAGATTGATTAATATTTCTGATTAGCATTCTTCATGATATATATATATATTTCTTGAAGTCTTTATTTTTTGTTTTATATATTAGTTGTTTATATTGTATAGTTTACATAATCTAGAATTGAAGTATGTATTGGCTCCAAGGCAAATTGTATATTTTGTGTTTGAATGAAAATAAAAAATATTTTTTGGAGGTGATAATTTAATAACTGTATAGTTAATAACGCAACATTATGAATTGAATATTGATTTAGTAAATTGAATTCCCCTCGCTGTGATTTAATTCATTTTTGCATCAGAATTTTATTATCGGAACTGATAAATGTATTTTTGATAATAGTAAAAAAAAAATTATCATAAAATGAATGAAAAAAGTTTAAGTTCTCTTTAATCAATATTTGAAAATTTATAAATCTCGACATAAATTTCGAATTTAAATTGGCGTCAATTAATAAAGATTTATTAATGCTCTTATTATACACTGCAATATTATAAGTAAATAAATTTGGTATACGGGTCTATAAAGGCTTAATAAATAAATATTAATCATAACAAATTGTATTTTCGATCGTAATTACTACTTATTATTAGTAAGACATCCGTTTATCGCTCAATGTTAATTTTAATTATTATTGCGTGATATTTTATTTTTTATTGTATCAAAAACTTTCTTTCGTGGATAAAAACAATTAGCGATGTGAACAAAGCCACTTCTTCATAAACTCGACCGGAGCAGATTACTCTTAATAATCACGTGATTTAACCTTGAGTCAGGTGTTTCGGTATTTTTGGTGCCGAAATTTACCAAATAAATCAATAAATCGAATATTTATTGTAAGGGTCAACAATATTCTACTTTCATTTCTTGAACGTACTAAAAATGTACGATAATAAATTTTTACCAAAATTATCACAAAATTTACTTGAAATTTTAGAAGATAATGAATTTTGTGATATAACTATTGAAGTTGGTAATGACCCTTACGTAAAAATTTTTCGAACTCATATGGTCATTTTAAATTACCGTTCCCCTTATTTGCGAAAAATTTTATCCACTAGCGTTAATAAAAATAAAAATGATGGAAATTTGATACATATTAAATTACCAAATATTTCACCGGAAATTTTTGAAATGATTTTAAGGTGAGTAAAAACTTAGCGTTTTTTTTTTCAAAAAAAAGAGTAATTTGAATTTTACTGAAATATTCAAATTTTTTCGTTTAATATTTTCGTATAGATATATTTATGGAGGGAAACTTTCTTTGGAGGAATATGATACTTCGGATATAATTAAAATTTTGGTTGCATCCAAAGAACTTGGTCTTAAAGAATTAATCGTTCATTTACAATCATTTTTGATCGAAAAAGAAAAAAATTGGATGAAACTAAATTTTAATTTAATATATAAAATAAGTTTTGAGAATAATTCCTTCTTGAAATTACAAAAATTCTGTACAGAATTAATGTCTAAAGAACCAGAAAGAATTTTTAATTCGATCGATATCAATTCAATTTCAGAAAAATCTTTGATTTCTTTTATTCAACAACATGATAACGTTCAAACGAATGTTATTCAAGTTTGGGAACATGCACTTAAATGGAGTATCGCTCAAAATCCTGGACTTCCTTCAGACCCTTCAAACTACTCAAAAGATGATTTTATTACTTTAAGGGGTTCTTTGCAACAATTTATTCCTTTTATTAAATTTTTTAATTTAACTCCTAAGGAATACTTGGATAAAGTATATCCATATAAAAAGATTATACCGAAAGATTTGCGTGAAAAATTATTCAAACATTTTATTGATCAACCGAAAAATAATCCAGAACCAAAGACAATAACTGAAGAAACTACTAATTCAAAAAATATCGATTCAAAAATCATTACAATCCAACATGCTGAAATAATTTCGAAACGGATTGATAAATTGAATATTACTGACAAAAATTCATATGAATTTAAGTTGATTCTTCGTGGATCTCGTGATGGATTTTCATCTCAAAAATTTCACGAGATATGTGATAATCGATCTCATACTATAACGATTGTTAAAGTAAAAGATAGCAACGAAATCCTTGGTGGTTATAATCCGATCGTATGGAAATCTGATGGCGGATTTGGCGCTACTGAAGATAGTTTTATATTCTCTTTTAAGAGTAAGGAAAATATTAAAAATTATATTTTAAGTCGAATATCAATACTTCTTGGAGATTATGCTATATACAATCACATTGATTACGGACCATCATTTGGTGAATATGACCTTATTTTATTTGGAAACAATTGTTATGAAAAGAGCTATTGTAATTATTCTGGATATTATGACGAATCAATTAGAGGAACTAAAGATTATTTTTCTGTTGAAGAATATGAAATATTTCAAATTATGAAAGTTTGATGTACTTTAATGATTAAAGATGCCTTGTATACATATATTATTTATTTACTTATTATTAAATAAAATGATATTTTGTTATTAGTACCATTTAGGGTGGTAAAAAATTTGTTTATCGATGAATTCGCGAATAACAATATATTAATTTATATTACTCACGAAAGCTAAATTCATGTAAAATCATATGTTATTATTATTTGTGTTTTGCAAGACAAATCGTATATTTTGCATTTTAGGCGGTAAATTTTTAATAACAACATAATATTTTTGAGGAAAAAATCTAATAATACATTTTCTTTACATTACGGCTAAAAATATTGATTTATTGTAGTACTATTACTAATATATGAATTGGAAATTGATTCAACTGATTTCAATTAGAAATTTAATTCTTCGACCTTTCTCGTTAAAATTCAGTATTTTCATTATTGGCCTTTTGTCTTAAGTGTTTTATCATGATTAGCTAGTAAGTGTTCGTGTGATTCAGACTGTAAGACACAAAATAAGGTGGTGAGACATCAAAATTAGGTCAACACTCAACATTTCTTTTATTTTGAATCGATTATAATGATACGATATTACGATATCACAATTTTCCGGGCCGGTCCACTGCCGGTCCACAAAATTTACTTGAAATTCTAGAAGATAATGAATTTTATGATATAACAATTGAAGTTAGTAATGACCCTTATGTAAAAATTTTTCAAGCTCATATCAGATATAGGTCATTTTTAAATTATCGTTCTCCTTAATTGCGAAGTATTTTATCGACCAATGCTATCAAAAAGAAAGATGATGGAATTTGGGCACATTAAGATATCAAATATTTCACCGGAAATTTTTCAAGTGATCTTAAGGTGAGAGAATTAAAGTAAAAAATTTAGCGATTTATTTAAAAAGAAAAAATATACATATCAGATATAGTATATATATATCACATATATTTTTAATTTTTTCTAAAGAATATTTAGAACCGTATAAAAAAATTATGCCAAAAGATTTGCGTGTAAGTTTATTTTATGGATCAGCCAAATAATAACCTAGAACAAAAGACAATAATTAAAGAAACTTCAACATGCTGAAATAATCTCGAAATAAATCGATAGATTAAGAATAATTTGATTCTTCGTATCTCGGATGTGTTTTCGCCTAGTAAATTTCCCATGAGATTTTGTGATAATCAATATATTTCATCGTAACAATAATTAAATGAAATATGGAAAAGAAATTCTTGAAGGATATAATCTGATGATGTGAAGATCAACTGATCAAGTTATACTAGTAGCATCACTAAAGGTAGTTTTATATGAGAATAATATTGAAGGGTATGTTTTAAGCCAAGTGAAAGATGAGAAATATGCAAGACATAGCAAGGATTATTGCTTTCCTTCGAAATGTCATTCTTCCTTAATTATTTATGACAAGACAAAGAATGGAGGGATTAGTAGTAGTTGTAGTTTAGCACATTTAATAATTGTTTCGCGCCACATCATACCATTATTAAGCACGCCCGTACAATAACATACAAATGAAAAATCTGCGATGTAACTTCCATTCGTTCTTCTCGAGCATCATCCTTGATGCTTGATTCGCTTCCACATTTTTTATGCCGGGAATATGTTCCGCTATTAGTTTCAGATTGCGTTTCAAACACAACGTCCACAAATTCTCTGCGATCTTTGAGAGATCCGCCCTGATGATTGATATAGGCTACACATGTCGTGTTGTCTGTTCGAATCAAAACCGTTTGGTTCACCAGCTCCTTGAACGCGAGAATGGAGAACTGAATTACCTTCAGTTCCAGAATTTGATGTGAAGATGATATTTTAATGATTAAAGTATTTCCGATGTTTTGTTATGTAAAGCACCATGAAACTTCTACACGAAATCAATGAGAAGTCAAAATTTAAGTCTATTAGTTACGGAAAAAATTTCATATCTGTATTTTGCGTAATAATCTTCAAATAAAGATATTATTATATAATATTGAAGTTTGTTTAAAATAAATTTCCTTTAACCATTTGTATGAATTGGGTAATTGTTGTAGTAAATCGATATAATATTTTATGTAGTAATGGATGTCTAATAAGCTTGATCAATGGATCAAAAAGATGCGCTCCTCTTGTGTCCTCGACATGACATCGCATTGATACTAAAACAATTAATATTACTACATATTAAGTAGATAAAATTAAACGTTCTTTTAGTAGAGTACCACGTCAATGTTAATTTTCCGTAATCACGATCAATTTATATATTTTGCTGCCTATATTAAAATTTAAAAGGCATATCATTATTGAGTTTGTTAGTAAATTATCTTCTTTACTCGTTATTATATGCGATAAGTAAAATCTCGTTCGGAAACTTGCTGCCTCAATTGTAACTTCAAAAATTAAAAAATCAAGGTCCCAGATTTTTCGAGTTTATCATTATAATTCTTGAATTTAGAAACAATAAAATCAATGAGTTTAGAGTTGGTACCACTTATGATAATATCTTATCAAATTGTACAGCATTAGAATTTTTTGGAAATAAATAAAATTATAAATTAGGATATTAAGTTTATAACGCCTGATTATTTTCTCACAACAGTCATCTTTTAGGATCGAGAATTCATGGATCAGATGGCACACTTACTGCTGCGTTACCACGATAATCAATGATTTTTGTGATTTTTTTAGCCTTTTAATATTAATATATTTTTTTTAAAAAAAAATTTCTTTTCATCTTTTTATGGATCAGATGGTACACTTACTATTGCTGTACTATAGTGAGCGCCAATTTTAACTTTTACTCGCTCTTTCCGCGATCATTTAACCAAAAAAATTTATTAAAGAAAATTTTGTGTTTTTTAATGAAATTAGCGTCCATAAATAAATATTTTCAATATATTGGAAGTTTATCGGTATTCGGTATAAGATTTGAAAATTAAATAGATTGAGTTTTTGATAAACCTACTACAAAGAACCCATACTTTTTCCGAAACATAATCCAAAAATTAGGTTAAATATAGAAGCAGTCAAACTTTTATTAAAACGTGACGAAGAAAAAATAGCATACACATTGTATCAAAAATATATTAAGACCACTGGCACCGTGAGGCGCAGCAGAAACAGAAGAAACTTCAAAAAATTCGCCAAAAAGAAAAAAAAAGAGAGGATGCAGCGGATTTTGGTTTAAATTCTTTTTTATTGCGTTAACATGACTTGATATATGTAATAATGTATAGTTTGCGGTTAATTTCATTGATTTGTATTTAATTTTTTTTTTTTTATCATAAAAACCAATCACGAGAACCTAGCAGCGAATCCCGAAAGAATCCAATCCAGACGGTGAATCACCCAAGATTAAATTCGACCCCTGCTTTATCGTCTCATGACTAACTAAACTATACTAAACTAAATATCAAAGAAATCTTTTATAATTTCTGTTGGTAATTTTTTTTTTAACGCGAAATCACGTGACTTCAGCTAAGATTGATTAATTTATCTGATCTATTCACATCTTCCACCCTCCATCTCTTCTGATATTACTTTTCTTTTGGACTTTATATTTTTCTCATCCAGTTCTCTATGAAATCATTATTCAATATCGTAAATTTTTGTATCCCGCCACGTGATTATTAATGATTCTTTCTTTAACTCTACCTAACCATTCCGCCCTCGGAAGTGAATTACGTTCCATCTTAAATCCTTCATTGCTTTCTTTTCTATCGCTTCCCATTCCATTTCCTCTCCGCACTCTTTAAAAATATTCTTCAATTCCTCCACTTTTGGTGTGATGCTTTCCCTGCATGTATCATTGTAAATCTCTCATTCACCGCTTTCAACGCTTCTACATTTTTCTTACTCGTCTCCCATCCTAATAACGGTGGTGAAAGCACAGTATAACGTTCGTAGGGAATTTTCATCTTCGGCACGTTCTTCATTTCATCTCTTTGATCGTTAATAATTTTCACGACCTCTTCTATAGTAACGTTATCTTTTTGTAATTTCTTACTGGTTATTATGTCCCGCTCAACATCCTCCTCTACTCCTCTATATTTCTTTATCACATCTACTACCTCATTATCCGTTTACATTATTCCCACGATTCTGTATAACCTTCATTGGTCTTTTTTGTACTTTGATACATACTAATGCCACCCAATTCTGAAAAAACTCTTTGTGGTGGCGTGTCCAATAAAGGTCCAGTAACTCTATCATTTTTTCGCTCTTCTTCTATCTTCTTATTATCGACCTTAACAACGTCCCTTTTCTTTTCTCGTTTTTCAGCTCGATATTCTCCTTGAAATTTCTTACTTTCCATATTTTCTCCGAATTCCTCTGTTCTATTGATCGTTCCACCAACTGTTCCATTGATTTTTGATCCTTAAGATATGCTATTATTTTCCAATTTTTTGATATTTTTAGGATCTTAGAAAACATGCCAACTGACGATTCTTGATTAAAAAACTCGTATTCGTTATTATTACATTCTCCCATTTCTTCAAGAGTGAGATCTCTAATTAATTGCCAACGGTCACGCTCCCATTTTACTATCTTCTTATACCACCTAATCCAGTGTTTGTTAATACCAATACTACCGAAAGAGTTATTTGCGGTAAAATTTTATATTTATATTGGACCTTTACTTTAATACTAAAAACTTTCCCTAACTTAGACAGCCAATACCTTCATCTTTCCAATGCTTCAGAAAAATATGTCACGTGATTTTTGTATATTAATTAATCAAATCTTGATCTTCAACCAAAACCGGAATTTCTGTGATCCGGCTGTGAATTCAATTCACACCCGTTCCTACAATTTTTCTTCTCCACCAAGTTGGCATCGCCTCAATTTCGAAAGGGTTTGACGCGATTTGGTTTTCAGTTGATAGAATTGCTTTCGGTCTTAATATATAGGATCTTTATAATTTTTTACTGTAACTTTGTTCACTTTGAGAAATAAAAATAAAAAAAAAACCGGAATTTATGTGATCAACTACTTTTCTTTTTTCGTGCTGATCGACTAGTTTTCTTTCCGTTTTTGTTTGGAGTGGATCTTGATTTCTTTGTTCGCAACATAACCTCTTTTTCCATAAAAATCTCTTTCCTTAATCCATCTATTACATCATAATTCTTGCATATTATTCGTTCCTTATCCTCTAACACACTTTCCTTATTTATCTTAGATCTCTTTATCTCTTCACGTGCTTTCCTCGTAATTTCTCGCACTCGAAAGTCTTGCAATTTCATCTATATATATGTCAAAGGACATTCTCGTACAACTTATTAACAAAGTATTTATAGTTATTCTTTGTAATCCTGTAGACATTTTGTATTTAATATATAAATTAAATAAATAAAATATCAAAAAATGTTAACGAAATTAGAAAATAACAAAATGATCGACAAAATGATCGACAAAAAAAAATCCTTGATAAGCCCTAATGTTACATGACATAAATCGTACGACAATATTTGGTTATTTATACCGTGATTGTGAAATGTGATCCTTTTCTTTTTTCTCACTCTTCTCTCTCTTTCGCTTACAATCTTACAATATGACATGTTCAAAAATATTTTCAGGAGATTTACCTGAAATAACATATGATATCATAAAATATTTTAAAGATGATATCTCAACTTTATATTCATGTGTTTTAGTCAACAGATTTTGGTGTCGTTTAGCTATTCCATTATTATGGAATAATCCATTCTCAATTCCTACAAGAAATTGTAAATTTATTGAAACTTATTTACATCATTTAAATGATGATTTAAAAGCAAAATTGAATGAATATAAAATTAATGATAATATTTTTCCTCCAAATACACTTTTCAATTATACTATTTTTTTAAAACAACTACATACAAGAAAAGTTATTTTTTCTATTGAAAAGTGGTCAAAAGATGTTAAAATTTTAAAACCCAAGAGTCGATCAATTTCAAATTTTAAAAGATTAGTTCATATGTCATTAATTCAAATCTTTATTGAAAATGAAGTAAAATTACATACACTTGATATTCAAATCACCAATTATAATTGTTATGATTCTTATATAGATGATATACTTGATTTAATGTTAGAGAATCCCAATTTCTTTCATAAAATTAAAAATTTAAAAGTTTGTTTTATTAATTCCTCATATAATGATCATAATAATCGTATATCACAAATAATTAATTTACATCAAAATCTTAAAAAAATTATATTAGGTTATAAAAGTTTTCCTTTATATCAATCATTATTATTATCAAATGATTATAATCGTACAAATACTTTAAATACAATTGTTTTTTATCATATAAATTTTAATGGTATAATCAATTTAAACAAAGTATTTGAACAATTGAATGGTTTAGAATCTGTTCACATCATTTACTGTTATTCTTTATGTGCTGGATTTATTAAACAAATAATTAAATTAACTAAACCATTCAAAGTAAAATCTTTATATTTTGGTGAAAATTTTCAAATTGATGAATATATACATTTATTTTTACAAAAATTTGGTGATTATATGGAAAATTTTGGATTTAGATTTGGAGTTGATTTATTATCTGAACAACAATTACTTGAATTAATTACAAAATATTGTAAAAATATCAAATTTCTTGATTTGATCATATCTGAAAATCGGATTGTCTATACATTATTCAATTTAATAGAAAATATAAATCAAAATCTTAAATATCTTTCTATTACTATCTTAAATAATTCACAAGCTAGTGAACATAGTTCAATTATTTTACGAAATTTAGGTCAAATACTTCCTAACAAATTAGAATACTTAAATTTGGTTCTTAATATTAATATAGATGATTTTGAAATATTCTTAAAAAATTCTCAGGATACTTTTATTGAAAAGTTTTTGATTGATAATAGGGGATGTCGTGATGTTTTATCTTGTGCAAAAGAATATATTATGAAAGAAAAAAGAGTTAAATATTTGGCTATTAGAGATTATAGAAATTATAATAAGATGGATCTGTATTTTTTGAAAGAAGAAAAGAAGGAATTTGAGTTATATGATATTGAAATTCAAAAATATAATGATTTGGTTATTGGTAGTAAATTGAATTTTGTAAAAGAATTGGAGGATATTTAGTATTAAAAAGTATAGTTGTTCATTTTCATTTTTCATTTTTTTCTTCATTTTTTTTTTCTTTTTTTCTTCATTTTTTTTTTCTTTCTTTGTTTTATATTTTCGTTTATAGATTTAGAGTCAGTTGCATGATTGTAATTACTATGCTATATTATGTAATTACCGTCTATTCATACAATAAAAAAAGTTTAAAAAATACAAATCAATGTCAGTTCATATAATAAACTAGGTAACGGGGACCGTTGGAGCGTCCGAAGTATGTAACATCGAATAAATTTTAAGTTATTTACGCGTTTACGCGTTTGCTGATCCCTAAAATTTCATAATTGTTATAATTGTTACGCCTGATCCTAAATTTTCATTTGTTATACACGCGGCGGTCGCGGCGTGACAGACGAATATTGCATTGTATCGAGTCTAACTTATAGTCCTACGCTACGCTTCGGACAACAATAAATATTAAACATACCAGGTCAGGGAGTTTTATTAATGATTAATAAAATTTTATTATCGCGCACTCGCCCACACTAATCAGGTATCGGGTATTTTTAAAATGTTGACTCTAGAGTCTTGTTTGCAGAATAACTCGATGATGCTCTCAATAATTTTTTAGGTTACGTAAACCTTTTACGGAAAAAAGATGGAATATAAAAAACGGATCGACTTTTTTTTACAGGATTTTAGGACAATAACAGCAGGTTCAACTATACGTTGAAAGCAAAAGTCACGCGCAATATTTTATGTTGTAGATTTTATTAAGTCAAATTTCATTTGTCGTGAATCTCCTTTAAATTTCTCCGGTGTAACAATTTAATGACATTATCAACTGTTTATACTAAACTGATTAGGTTAACGGCATCAAATCTAATATTTAACTTGCCTCTTTATTTTTTAAGGATTAACCTAATATTCTAGCGGCATGCGCCATCAAATCTTAATATTTATTAATCTTTTTTTTTTTATTTATTTTATTTACATAAAAAAATATCAACAGTTCTTAATGATTCTTCCCATGAAATGTGATTATTGCCTTTATCAATCATTTCTCCAATAATTTCATCCCATGATATTAACCTTCCCATAAAAGGTCAGACGACAAATAAAGAATTGCGGTACAGGTTTAATTTCGTTTTTCTTAAAATATCAAGATATACTAGTACTTCACGAATGAATCAATGAAGATAATTTTATTAAATATTATGTAAAATATTATTAAAAAAAAAATTCATAAAGAATGTTCTTGGGAACGAAGTTGAATAAAATTCCCCTATAATTATTTAAAAAAAATTTCTGCTTAATAAACGTCAAATATGAATAGGTCACTCAATACATGATATGCTGGTGGTCACTTTGAAACTGATTAACTGATAAATAATAGGAAAAACTGTGATTACGTACAAAATAATGATATATTGTATATTTTAGACATGTATATGATATAAATTTATACTAAAACTATTTACTGGGAATTTTACGATCATTTTAATTAAAAAACTTTATATGCTAATAAGATTCAATTCTAATTTGACCCTAGGATTTCTTAGATCTTTTTTGCCTTTGCTGATTTTGGCCAATGATTTATTATTTCTTAAAGTAAGGTAAGCCCGCATCACGTTTATCTTTAAATACCAAATGGGCTTCCGCGTCCGCGTTACGTTTATATTCAGCCGGTGCTGCATCTGCGCCAATAATGAATTTAAAAGAATCCTTAATATTAATATGAATAAAAAAAATAAATCCTTCTTTTAAAGTGATGATTTATTTACCCGCTAAAATAATAGTAAAGACGAAAATCAACAATAAACATTTGAATTTCATTATTGATTTCATGTGTATTATATATAATTTTAATTCGTTATTTATTAATGTATTTAAAGAAATTTTCTCTCGTATTTTTCAAAGTGTTTATATAAGAAAATTTTTCTACAATAATACGTATACTAAATTATTTTATGAATTAATAAAGGCAAAGCGGTAAAGAAGACATACGAGAATATTTTTGCCACGATTTATTTGTTGTTTTGTTAACGAGGGCGAAGTAAAAGCGTACAAGAGTATTTTTGCCACGATTTCTACATTGTTGCCATGTTAAAATTTACAATTGAAGAGCAGAATCACTAAGTTAATAAAAATAAAATGCGAGATTTTGATGTTAATAATTATTTTTTGCACAATTATCTGTAAAATTGTTGTTTTATTAACATTTTTTGCATTGCGCCACAATCAGAACGAACAATGCCACTTTAAATTAATAATGTGGAAAAGATGATTATTTTTTTTAAAAAAAAATAAATAAATCAAAATAGTAACTAGATCAGGAAATTCATTTCACAGCCAAATCAACAGAAAATGAATTCACATTAAAAAATAAAAGGTTATTAGACAATTTAATCATATCAACACGTAATTTATCAAAAGTATTTTGCCGATGATGATAATATTATTAACTTCCCATATTGAATGGTGTCTAGCATCAAATTTGGAAAGTTATTTGGACATTTATAAAAAAAAATTAGATGAAGGAATTTATAACGAGGAAAATTTTAATGAAAATGTGATCAATTAAATTATTTGACTGTTATTATATTAAAATTAATGAAAACAGTACATTAGAATAATGAATTTCAAAATTACAATGATAGCAAATGTTGACAATATTATTCAAGAGATAATGATTTTAAAGAAAATCTTGAGTATATAGCGATGAGCGAATAAATTTTATTGAGAATATATAGTTCAAAAAAATTAAACGAGTCCAGAAAATAGCTTAGTTATAGTAATAATTGTATATTCTATCCCTTATTATAAGGTAGTAATTATCCATCCCTTATATATTTACTTATCCATATGATCCCATTATGTCGAAACGTAATACAATAACTGCTGTTCGCTATATCGCCGATAAATTACGTAATAAATTTCTTTATTTGATTTTAAAAACATTTGATACATCTTTTTAAAATTTTCTTGGTTTAATCCTAACCATTAATTCTGTACAAGCATTAATAAAATCAGAACTATATTTTAATGGAGAATTCATATCAACTAATTCAATATCATATTTTCTATAAATTAATATTAATAAACATTTTATTTCTATGATTGCCAATTTTCTTCCAGGACAAATTCTAATTCCTCCTCCAAATATTGGGAAAGTATTTTTTAATTTTTTCTTTTCAAGTAAATATTTATCACTTTCTTCAACTCTGTAAAATCTATCAGGATCAAACTTTTCAGGTTCAGTCCAATAATCTTTATGTTTCATTAATGCGGAAAACAGCATTTGAAATCTAGTTCCTTCTGGCCAATCGTATCCTCCAACCTTATCAGTTTGAGTATTTAGACGACCAATAAAAAAAGCTACAGGATAGTGACGATTTATTTCTTTGGTAACCGCATCGCAATATTCTAATTTATCAAGATCTTTATATGTTATTGGTCTTGTTAAGTCATTTTCGAAAACTCTATCAAATTCTTGTCTCAATCGTTGCTTCACTTCTGGATAATGTTCAAGAGAATATATTATAAAGCAAATAAAATTCGCTGCCTATGATATTTTTTTAAAGAAATGAGATTTTTTTTTTAAAAAAAAACGATAGAAATTTCAAAGTACATATTTTTGAATAAAATAAAATAATTTTACTTACGGTATCAGTCCCTCCAAAGTATATTACCAAAAATTTCTTTATCAGTCATTGGTCTTAATAAATCAGCGTCGGCTTGTTTCAAAACGTTGATATCACGTGGTGTATTCGCGGTTATATAAGACGTCAACATATCATGACGAAGTGGTTGATCTAATGGTGTATTTTCAATTTCAATCCTTCTTTCTTTAACAATGTTATATAATCTATCAAACAAGTAATCTTTATTTTTCAATAATTTCTTAACTTTTCCACGAATAAAAGGAAAATTATTACGAATAAATTTATTAAAAGTGTAAAAATAAATGAGTCCTTCCATATAAGTTTCGAGTGATTCAACAAAATTTTCAGAATTTTTTAATTTTTCATTTTCTTTTTCATTTAAAAGATTTTTATTATTGTTACTACTAATTAACATATTATAATAACAAGTGATAGCATCATTTTTTACTCCAGTAGAGATTCTAAAAATCATTTCATTTGTAAATCTATGCATCCATTTTGTAAGGTTTAATTCATAATCTTCACCAAGATTATTCCAATAAGATTCCATTTCATTCCATAATTCATTAGTCCATTCAATAGCTTGATAATTAAGATTTGAAGTTGATAAAGCTTGAGTAAAAAATTGACGATTATATTTCCAAGATTTATGATCATTATTAAATGCTATTCCTACACCATCAAATCCATATTCCACGAATCCTTCCGTATTAGGTTGTCTAATAGAATATTTAGTCTTTGTTGAAGGTAAAATCATATTTTCAATTAAATCGGGTTTACATAATACTATTAAACGTTGACCTGCTAAAATTATTTCATACATATCACCATATTTTTTTTGTAATGATAATAACCAATCATTAAATCCATATCCAATTTGTTGATAAGCGCTGCCAACGATTGGAAGTGGAAATGGGCCTGGTAAAGGGTTATGACGAGTAAAATAATGATAATAAAAACGAGTTACGTAAATAATTGAAAAAACTATTAAGAGAGAAATGATATCAGAAATTCCTAAAGATGAGAAAGTCGTAGTGATCATGTTTCAAAAAATATTAAAAAAAGGTGAAGGGAATTATAACTGATAATAAATTAAAAAAAAAATTTTTTTTTGGATAGTAACGATTCTTATATATATAAAAATAAAGATGAAATTTTAATTAAAACTGACGTTTATGCAGTGAAGATAGTAATTTGAGTCGAGGAGATATTTTTGTCTTTTACTGTATCGATAGTTTACTACGCGGATAAACAAAGAAAAGTGCACAAAAGTAAATAAAAACTTTGAGATACTGCTTTTATACTTAAAGTTAAAAGGGGAAATGCCTAATAAAATTTAAATACCAAATTTCTACACCATACAAATACAGTATCCTATCGGGAATATTTAAACTACGGTACCCACGTATTATATCACGTGATTAATCTAAGTGTCGAATTTCGGTAATTTCTCGGGCCGAAATATTTGAAATATTTCCGAAACTTAACCAAATAAGTTTTAAAGTTTATAAATATTTGCAATATTTCCGAAACTTAACCAAATAAATTTTTGTTTATTTTCTTTCGTTTCTTTGAAAGTCGAAAAAAAAAATGTCAGTTATAATGTACGATAATAAATTTTTACCAAAATTATCTGAAAATTTACTTGAAATTTTAGAAGATAATGAATTTTATGATATTACTATTGAAGTTGGTAATGATCCTTACGTAAAAATTTTTCGAGCTCATATGGTCATATTAAATTATCGTTCCCCTTATTTGCGAAGAATTTTATCCACTAACGCTAATAAAAATAAAAATGATGGAAGTCTGACACATATTAAATTACCAAATATTTCACCGGAAATTTTTCAAATGATTTTAAGGTGAGTAAAAACTTGACTTTTTTTTTAAAAAAAAAAAAAATAATTTAAAATTTTACGGAAATATTCAATTTTTTTTTCGTTTAATATTTTCATTTTAGATATATTTATGGAGGAAGACTTTCTTTAGAGGAATATGATACTTCGGATATAATTAAAATTTTGGTTGCTTCCAGTGAACTCAGTTTTGAAGAATTAATAACCCAATTACAATCATTTTTAATCGAAAATAAAAAAAATTGGATGGAACAAAATTTTAACTTGATATATAAAACAAGTTTTGAGAATGATTCTTTCTTAAAATTACAAGATTTTTGTACAGAATTAATATCTAAAAAACCAGAAAAAATTTTTAATTCAGTCAACTTTATTTCACTTTCAGAAAAATGTGTGATTTCTCTTATTCAACATGATAATATTCAAAAGAATGTTATTCAAGTTTGGGAACATGTGCTTAAATGGGGTATCGCTCAAAATCCTGAACTTCCTTCAGATGTTTCTAGTTATTCAAAAGATGATTTTAATATTTTAAAAAATACTTTACAACAATTTATTCCTTTTATTAATTTCTTTCATTTAACTTCTAAAGAATATTTAGATAAAGTATATCCATATAAAAAAATTATACCAAAAGATTTGCGTGAAAATTTATTTAAACATTTTATGGATCAGCAAAGCAATAACCCAGAACCAAAGATAATAATCAAGGAGACTAGTTCAAAAAGTATTGATTCAAAAATCATTACAATCCAACATGCTGAATTAATATCGAAATGGATTGATAAATTAGAAATCGCTGACAAGATGAAAAATTCATATGAATTTAAGTTGATTCTTCGTGGATCTCGTGATGGGTTTTCGCCTAGTAAATTCCATGAGATTTGTGATAATCGATCTCATACTATAACAATTATTAAAGTGAAAAATAGCAACGAAATTCTTGGAGGATATAATCCGATCGTATGGAAATCTGATTATACATTTGGCGCTACTGAAGATAGTTTTATATTCTCTTTTAAGGATAAGGAAAATATTGAAAAATATATTTTAAGCCGAGTAAAGGATAAAAATTATGCTATAGCAAATAAGCCTGTTTTTGGTCCATCTTTTGGTAAAGGTGAAATTTGTTTATATGGAGAAAATTACAATCAGAGTTTTATTAATTATACTAAACGTTATGACAAACAAATTAGAGAACCAGCTTTTTTTTCTGTAGAAGAATATGAAATATTTCAAATCGTAAAGATTTATTAATATTTCTAATGATTAAACTGAAGGTATCAATGTACTGTAATATATATTCTTCATGATATATTTTTCTTAGAAATTAATGATATTTTGTTATTTTTAATAATTACCATTTATGGACGGGATTTTCTGTTTAATAAATTCTATTGTTTGCTTATTAGTTAAATATATTATTTATTTATATTATATAATATACTTTTACATGAGTCTTAACGAAAGTTATAAATTGAAGTATTATTATTATTTAGACAAATTGTATATTTTTATTTTACTAAAATTTTTATTAAGAATGAAATAAAATATATTTTTGAAGGTGATAATTAATAATAAATTTCTTTAACTGTATTGTTAGTAACGCAATTGATTAAAATTGATTAAGTAAATTGAATTATCCCCTCGTTGTGACTTCGCTCAGTAAAATCCATTTTGCATCAGAGTTTTCACTACCGGAACTGATAAATATATTTCTGTTTAATAATAGTAAAAACTTTACTATAAAATGAATGGAAACAATTCCGGTTCTCTTAATAAATGGACATGAAAATAATGTACAAATCTTTTATAATTGTCACTAATTTCTACATAATTTTCAAGTTTAAAATTGTCGTCGATTAATAAAATTTTATTAGTGCTCTTATTATACGCTGCAAGATTATAAATAAATAAATTTGGTATATGATTTAACGATAGGGAATAGGGAAAATAAATAATAACTCTAAAATTGTATTTTCGACAGTAATTATTGTTAGTAGGACCTTATCCATTTATCGCTCAATGATTGTGAAGTTCACTTAATCTATTTATTTTTTGCATAATAATTTATTTTTTATCGTATCAAAAACTTTCTTCCGTGAATAAAAGAAAAAATAATAAAGTGTATAGAAAGACAAAAACCATATAAAAAATTTTATCCGTTATTTCTGTAAAAACTCCGCAAAAAATGAGCCTGTCACGGATCCATTTAAATAATTCGATAAATTCCGTGATTCCGTGATATAAGTATTATTTTATTTCATGGTGAGTTGCCTTTGGGAAAAAACCCCTAGGGTAATCTCCTGAAGCGTGTCACTCATTAAATTTAACATATGATCACTAGTTTTAACTATTTTAAACTAAAATTAGAAGGCTGACCGGGAAATAAGTATAAACTCAGCTATTCGCAATTTTCAAAAATTAGTATGAAGGTAGGTTTTTAGTTCCAGAAATATGAGCCTTTTACAGAAAAAAAATAACAAATAGACTTTTTTTGTAGGGAAGAGATTAAGAAAAACTATTCATATTCATAAAAGGAGTTGATAATCATAAGGGTCAGGTGTTTTTGTATTTTTCGGAGCCGAAATTTACAAAATAAATCAAGAAATTGAATAACAGTTCAACTTTATTTCTTGAAAGTACTAATAATGTATAATAATAAATTTTTACCAAAATTATAAAAGATAATGAATTTTATGATATTACTATTGAAGTTGGTAATGACCCTTACGTAAGAATTTTCGTCATTTTAAATTATTGTTCTCCTTTTTGTGAAGAAACGATTTAAGCAGAGTAAAAGTAAAAGATGAAAATATGCAATATTATTATAGATTGATATTTTTAATGATTGAAGATGCAAATGTACAATATTTTCACGCTTCTTTGTCACCAAGGAAATGGCAAGGATCATATAAAGTAACGTGAGTAACGTATTAAATGATTATAAGTCACGTGATATTCTAATTAAGAATTTAGGATTTTGGTTCTTATTTAGTTTTTAAACTTTTATTCATAAAAAAATTTGTGATTTAAAAAAAAAATCAAAAACGAACGTGACAAAGATGATCATTTAATAAAACAATAAAACAACAAAACACTAGTTTTTTTTTAAAAAAACTTTCTAACTAAAAAAAAATACATTTCCTAAATTTCTTTAACGATTAAAAATTTTTTTTTTTATTTAAATAAAATATTACATTTTCATATATCGAGAATGATTTAGTCACTCATTAACGACGTAATTTATCCTTGAATATAAATATAAAGGTTTTTAATCGAATAGCAAATCGATCGATGTGATAATTATGACACATGATCCAGTCGATCCATATATCATACCTCCTTATAACTCATGAGAATGCAAATTATGTATTCGAAAAGGTTTTTACAAGTATATATATACCCAAACTTTTTCACTTCTTTCAGATTTTTATTTCTTCATTAATAGAAAATACATTCAATATAAAAAATTTTCTTTAAGTTGTTTTATTTCTAGGCGAGACTTCTGACAATTCTTCCTTGGATAATTAATAGCCCTGTTCAATTCTAGACCGGATCGAATGACCGCAGTCAATTCGATCAATTACTGTAAGTTTGGTTTTCACCTCAGATATATTTTTTTCGATCCGAGAAATCCAGTCTAGAATTGAACAGGGCTAATATAACCAAAATAATACAAATAATGTCTGAAACTTTGGAAGGTCGACGTTACAGAGGTTGAAGATATATAAAATAATCAAGAATTTTCCACCAAAGATTTGTGAAGAGAGGCTAAGGATGCATTTCTGAAAGTACGTATTTTTATGGCTGTATTTATTGGCACGTGTAGGTGCGCGTCGCAGGGTTCACGAGCGGTTGAATAAATTGTTTGCATCCAAGAATACAGCAGAAGTGTGTCAGTAAGCATGGGTGGTTGGATGCGTGTACTACTAGTGGCTGCAGAAACTAGTAATGTAAATTTTTACTTTAGGTGATGGTCAAAACATGTATTTTCAAGGAAGGTTCTAAGTACTGTAAATTATTTGTTTTAACGTGATGTTTTTAACGAATATTTTTTTTAATATCTTTTTTTCTATTTATTAATAACCAATGAAATTACTCAAATTCTAAAAGAAAGAAGAACCCAATTATGTGTATATTAAATAATGAAACAGATTAGCTTTACAAACAAATAATAATTAAAATGAAGACTTATATAGATATCATGAATATGCTACAATTATACTTCTACGTTATTCATTAATTTAAAAATATTGTGAAATTGTATATTCGTAAATTAATTTGTGACAAACAACCAATAATATCACGTGACGCATAAAATTTTGCTAGAGCAGTGACGTATATTAGCTATATCAGTTCCTTACCCCCACCCCAAGGTAAGATTTAATTAGTATGTATACATATAATACTAATTTTAACCAATAAAAATGTTTAATTTTGTGTCATGTAAGATTTTGCTTAACCCACCCCCTAAAATTAAATATTAGCTAATATATATGACATCTTTAAATTAGATAGATTCAATGGCGACGTGATCAAGCTTTACTGTTCACTAACGTTTGATGACAATTAATAAATAATATCTCTTAAACGGCAATGCGGGCAGATTCATAGCATCATACCGTTAAAACAGAGTTATAATATTGTTAAAATTATTCAGCCTTCGTGAAGGGAAGGACTTTCTTTGAACAGCTAAGTTTTTTGAAGCTCTGAAAGGTCAAAATTAATTTTTTAAAGTTAGTGATTACTGATAGTGCAAACCGATTGTACTAAATAATTGTTTTAAATTTTCGTGATAACCATAATATTGACAAGATGCAAAGATATAATTTAACTTATTTATTTCAGACATCAAATAACTAATCCGTTGCAGTATTTAATTCGTAACACCACATTATGCCCATATTTACAAATATTATATTCAATAGCCTAAATTTTCTCAAGTAATCTTTTAGTACTCTGGGTAAACCTGTTGGGTCCTGTCAAAAAATCGTCCGTCGGAAAATCGTGCCGTAACCCAAAGACTTAGGTGGTTTGTTGATCAAATAAAATATCCTGAAACGATGAACCTTTAGGAGTTGGTCGAAATCGCCTTATAAGACTTAGCAAAAACAAAAGGAGATCAAAATTATAAATTACACTTTATTTTATTTTATAAAATTTATAAACCTTTAATTTTAACCGCTGTTCGTGATATTGCCAATATATTACTACGTAATAAATTTTATTTTATTTAATTTTATATTTTCAATAAAGATAAAATATTTGACAAAAAAAACCTCAAAATAATATCATAAAATAAATGGAAAAAGTAACTTAATCTAAAAATAATGACATTTTTTTAAAATTTTCTTGGTTTAATTCTAACCTTTAATTCTGTACAACAATTAATAAAATCAGACCTATATTTTAATGGAGCATTCATATCAACTAATTCAATATCATATTTTCTATAAATTAATATTAATAAACATTTTAATTCTATAATTGCCAATTTTCTTCCAGGACACATTCTAATTCCTCCTCCAAACATTGGAAAAGTATTTCTCAATTTTTTCTTTTCGAGTAAATATTTATCACTTTCTTCAACTCTGTAAAATCTGTCAGGATCAAACTTTTCAGGTTCAGTCCAATAATCTTTATGTTTCAATACTGCGGAAGCAAGCATTTGAAATGTAGTTCCTTCTTTCCAATCGTATCCTCCAACTTTGTCGCTTTGAAAACTTACACGTCCAATTAAATAGACCATAGGGGAGTGACGATATATTTCATTGGTAACTGCATCGCAATATTCTAATTCATTAAGATCTTTATTTGTTATTGGTCTTGTTAAGTCATTTCCAAGAACTCTATCAAATTCTTGTATCAATCGTTGTTTTATTTCTGGATAATGTCCAAGATAATATGCAACAAAGCAAATAAAATTCGCTGTCTGTGATTTTAAAAAAGAAACGAGATTTTTTTTTTAGAAAAAAAAAAGCGACAAAATCCTTAAAATACATAGTATTAAATAATTTTTTACTTACGGTATCAGTACCCCCGAGTAATGCGTCGAGTATATTGCCATAAATCTCTTTATCAGTCATTGGTCTTAATAAATCAACGTCGGCATGTTTCACAGCGTTAATATCACGTGGTGTATTCGCAGTTATATGTGACGTCAACATATCATTACGAAGTGGTTGATCTAATGGTGTATTTTCGATCTCAATCCTTTTTTCTTTTATAATGGTATATACTTTATCAGATAAGTAATCTCTGTTTTTCAATAATTTCTTAGTTTTTCCACGAATATATGGAATATAATTACGGCTGAAGTTATCAAAAGCGAAAAAATGAAAAATTCCTGCTAAATGAGTTTCAAGTGATTCAATAAGTTTTTTAGATTCGTCTGATTTTTCATTTTCTTTTTCATTTAATGAATTGCTATTAATTAATATTTTATAATAAGAAGCGATAGCATCATTTTTTGTTCCAGTAGCAATTTTAAAAATCATTTCATTTGTAAATCTACGCATCCATATTATTAGGTCAAATTCATGATTTTCACCAAGATTATTCCAATAAGATTCCATTTCATTCCATAGTTCAATTGTCCATTCAATAGCTTGATGATTGAAACTTGGAGTCATCATTGCTTGACTGAAAAATTGACGATTATATTTCCAAGATTTAAGATCACTATTAAATCCTAATCCTACACCAGCTTCAAATCCATATTCCACGATTCCATCCTTACTATGTAATCTAATAGGATATTTAGTTTTTGATGAAGCAACATACAAATTTTCAGTTAAATCGGGTCTACATAGTACAATCATACGTTCACCTCCTAAAATTATTTCGAACATATCACCATATTTTTTATGTAACGATAATAACCAATCATCAACTCCATCATATCCAATTTGTTGATAAGCGCTACCAACGATTGGAAGTGGAAATGGACCCGGTAAAGGGTTAGGACGAGTAAAATGATGATAATAAAAACGAGTTATGTAGACAATTGGAAAAATTATTAAGAGAGAAAGGATATTTGAAATTTCAAAAGATGAAATAAATGTAGTAATCATTTTAAAAAATATTAAAAGATGAAGAGAATTATAACTGATAAAAATTTTTTGGAAAGTAAGGTCCTTATATGCATAAATGCATCAAAAATTAAGGTCAGATGATAATTAATTTAATTTAAACAGATTTGTATACATAAAGACAAAAATTTTCGTTTGAAGTACAAGGAAAATTATATACTATCCTGATTTATATTATTGTAGAATAGAAAACTGCTAATTTTTTATCGTCAATTTCGTATTGTTATTTAATTTAGTAAAATGCGCCCAATAGTTACACGCTAACTAAAGTTGTATTATTGATTCCTATTTCGTTTTTTTATTCCATATTTCATGTTATTTCCCGTAAATGTATAATATTCGTATTATTTAGTTCTAGAATCGACCTTTATTTAGCAATTTATATATAGAATAATTACTCAAGTTAGTTTAAATAATTTTTTCTAATACTTACCTTAAGAATGAACGATTTTTACTGATCATATCCAAAAATGGTTAGACAAAATGATTAAAGTCAATATAAATCAAAACCGGTATTCAAAACATGATCTGAGTAAACTTGCAGAACAGGCTAAAATACACCTACCATAAATAGTTTGGAAGGTTATATGTGGCTTTTATTTTATTAAATATAGACGTAGATTGGGGTGGTAGGTTATATATGTGACATTTGGGAAAACGATTTTTCGAAAGTCACGTGATAGAGCATTATGAACGTTTTTAACGAATATTTTTTTTAATATTTTTCTATTTATTAATAATTGATTAAATTACTCAAAAAAAAAAAAAAAAGAGGGACCATCCTTTCATCAGTTAATCACCCACAAAGCGCACGTACAAGAAACATTTTACATGCATAATATTATGTCTGTCTCTTATACACATCTAGATGTGTATAAGAGACAGCTTTTATATTGGGCATGAGTTCCACCAAATATATCCGCGCGCATGATCCGGATGATAATTATAAAACTTTTTATTGATCCGATCGATTCTTTACGCCACACACCACCTTTCTTTCTTTTACGAATATTTTTCTAAAAAATTGTTAACATGTCATATCAACAACAAAATAAGGTTTGTAAAGGGTGTCATTATATAGAGAAAGTTGGGAATTTTTAATGAAAAAGGAATTATTTTGAAAAATGTTGCAAACGCTAAAATAATATTACAAGATCACATTCAATAAAAAAAAAACAGAAAATCTGACGCGACAATTACTAGTTATGCAGGATATAACAGAAACTATATATAATTCCTTAACCTTTTATAAATAATACTAATAAATTTTATGAAGGAAAAAATACTGAACTAAGAATAAGTATTGTATTGAGTTATCAACAGTGAAGATATTGAAAATATTTTAATTGTGAAATTGGGCGTTATATAGTAGTATCTCTTATATCAGAAGGTGATGGTTACATATGGGTTTACACATTAAATTAGAAAAAGGCCATTCTTCTTTATTTTGACATAGCATGTTTAATAATATTTCATATTTGTAATGTTTAAGAACAAATTATTTAGCGAAAATCAAGTTAATTATATTTACAAATAAAATACATGATCTATTATAGCGAAAGTAAGTAAAATGTAGTATCTTAATAGTTTATTATAATAAACAATAAAATTAAAAGTACATAGTAACTTTATAACATTTTTTGTCAATAAAAAAATACATCGATAAAATAAAATTACCAAAATAATTTAACACAAAAAATTTTTTTTTTTAACAGACCAAAATTATTTCAGGTTTAATTATACAACTTATATTTGTTTTATATATTTTATTTTTATTCTAGGGTAGCGTAATATAAATTTGTATAACTATACTTTCATAGGTAAAATAGCTTTTTTTTAATTAATAATTAATAATATAATAATTACCGAAAATAATCATCCGGATCATGTGCGCAAAAATCTACCATTTTTTTATGGTATTGCTAGGGTCGTTAAAAAAATTAGTCACCGAGACACCGATCGCACTAATTTCATAAAACGGTGATTAAATATTTTAAATTTAAAAAACTTTTAATTTCAACCGCTGTTCGCGATATTGCTAATAAAATTACGCAATAAATTTTATTTTATTTAATTTTATATTTTCAATAAAGATAAAATATATTCGACAAAAAAAACCTTGGTAACAAAATAATATCATAAAATAAATGAAATAAATGGAAAAAGTAACTAATCTAAAAATAATGATAGATAATTATATTTTTTAAAATTTTCTTGGTTTAATCCTAACCTTTAATTCTGTACAACAATTAATAAAATCAGAACTATATTTTAATGGAGCATTCATGTCAACTAATTCAATATCATATTTTCTATAAATTAATATTAGTAAACATTTTAATTCTATAATTGCCAATTTTCTTCCAGGACACATTCTAGTTCCTCCTCCAAATATTGGAAAAGTATTCCTCAATTTTTTCTTTTCGAGTAAATATTTATCACTTTCTTCAACTCTGTAAAATCTATCAGGATCAAACTTTTCAGGTTCAGTCCAATAATCCTTATGTTTCAATACTGCGGAAGTAAGCATTTGAAATGTAGTTCCTTCTTTCCAATCGTATCCTCCAACTTTGTCGCTTTGAAAACTTACACGTCCAATTAAATAGGCTATAGGGGAGTGACGATATATTTCATTGGTAACTGCATCGCAATATTCTAATTCATTAAGATCTTTATTTGTTATTGGTCTTGTTAAGTCATTTCCAAGAACTCTATCAAATTCTTGTATCAATCGTTGTTTTATTTCTGGATAATGTCCAAGGTAATATGCAACAAAGCAAAAAAAATTCGCTGTCTATGATTTAAAAAAAAAACAAGATTTTAAAAAATTTTGAAGCACATATTTTAAATAAAATAAAATAATTTATTTACTTACGGTATCAGTACCTCCGAGCATTGCTTCGAGTATATTACCAGTAATTTCTTTATCAGTCATTGGTCTTAATAAATCAACGTCGGCATGTTTAATAGTGTTGATATCACGTGGTGTATTCGCGGTTATGAATGACGTCATCATATCGTTACGAAGTGGTTGATCTAATGGTGTATTTTCAATCTCAACCCTTTTTTCTTTGATAAGGGTACATAATTTATCAAATAAGTAATCTTTATTTTTCAATAATTTCTTAGATTTTCCACGAATATATGGAATATAATTACGGCTGAAGTTATCAAAAGCGAAAAAATGAAAAATTCCTGATAAATAAATTTCAAGTGATTCAATAAGTTTTTTAGATTCGACTGATTTTTTACTTTCTTTTTCATTTAGTGAATTGCTATTATCGTTAATTAACATTTTATAATAAGAAGCGATAGCATCATTTTTTGTTCCGGTAGCAATTTTAAAAATCATTTCATTTGTAAATCTACGCATCCATTTTATTAGGTCTAATTCATGATTTTCACCAAGATTATTCCAATAAGATTCCATTTCATTCCATAGTTCAATTGTCCATTCAATAGCTTGATGATTGAAACTTGGAGTCATCATTGCTTGACTGAAAAATTGACGATTATATTTCCAAGATTTAATATCACTTTTAAATTCTATTCCTACACCATCTTCAAATCCATATTCCACGATTCCATCCTTACTATGTAATCTAATAGGATATTTAGTCTTTGATGAAGCAACATACAAATTTTCAGTTAAATCGGGTCTACATAGTGTGATCATACGTTCACCTCCTAAAATTATTTCGAACATATCACCATATTTTTTATGTAATGATAATAACCAATCATCAACTCCATCATATCCAATTTGTTGATAAGCGCTACCAATGATTGGAAGTGGAAATGGACCCGGTAAAGGATTAGGACGAGTATAATATTGATAATAAAAACGAGTTACGTAGATAATTAAAAAAACTATTAAGAGAGAAAGGATATTTGAAATTTCAAAATATGAAATAATTGTACTAGTAATCATTTTAAAAAATATTAAAAGATGAAGAGAATGATAACTGGTGAAAATTTTTTGGAATATACGGTCCTTATATACATAAATGTATCAAAAAATAAGTTCAGATGATAATTTAATTTAAACTGATTAAATGATTGTATAATTGTATAATAAAAAACAAATATTTTCGTTTAAAGTACTAGGAACATTATACCAATCGTATATTATACTGATTTTATACACTGATTTTATACAATAATACATTATATATGTATTAAAAAATAAAGGTCAAATGATAATTTAATTTAATTGTATAAAAATTTTCGTTTGAAGTACAAGGAAAATTAGTATCAATCGCATACTATCCTGATTTATAATAATACGTTATATTATTTAGTTAGCGGAAATTTATTTAAAACTTCGAAAACCATGATACGCATTAACAATACAAAACTATTGTAGAATAGAAAACTGCTATTTTTTTATCGTGTGCACTCGGTTGTTATTTAATTTAGTAAAATGCGCCCAATAGTTATACGCTAACTAAAGTTGTATTATTAGTTCCTTATAAAAAATTATTTCGTTGTTTATTTATTCCATGTTATTTTCGTAAATGTATCATATTCAAATAAATTTTTTACAGGGTATTATGTAGTTCCCACACTCTTTGAATAAATCTTTATTTAGCAATCTATAGACGGAATAATTGCACAAGTTAGTTAAATATACTTATCTTAATTAGGGGTCATCTAAGCCGGGTTCGGCCTCGTGACTTTTAAAATTTATTTTTTTATTTTCGCCAACACATAAAACTTTCATAGTATATGCACTATCATTACATCTAAAAACCTCCCGATAATCTTGAATTATTTTATTATCCTTTTTCTTCAAGCTCCGATTAATTCCTTCTATCAATTGTTCATATTCTTTTATCATCGGTACACTTATTTTTTTTCTTTTGGAGTTTATGTAATTTATACGCTTATGCAGTGAAGTTAATTTAATACATATTAAGTCTTAAATGGAATCAAGGAAATACATTATTTACCCAGAAATTTTGGATTTTTTTTGAAATATAAATGTACAAAATTTCATTATTTATACATTTTGATAGATTTTTTATTTTTAAATACATATATTTTATGAATACAGGCAGGAATACATTAAAAAAAAATCAAAATCTTTTATTTTAAAATTTAATAATTTAATAAATGGGCGGACTTCGCAGAAAAGGTGGGTTCGGCCAACCAATCAGATTTTGAGATTTTTTGATAATCAGATGCCTATTGGCCTTACCTTTATGGGGTATTATTTTTCCATCAAATATATTTAAGTTTTTTTTCCATTGTAGTGTTATTAAAAAACGTCAGCAGAAATATCGTAATAAAAAATACGGAATATGGTATGCTAATATTTTAAAGATGGGTTTGAAAAATTAAGAAAAATCACATGAAAATCATGCGGAAACTTTAATTGCCGCCCAAATACAGTTAGAAAAGTTTGGCTTGTAAGTAAATTAACTTGTAATATAAGGATTATTATTATCATCATTCTGCATGTGAAACGTCCAATCATACTAAACCACGATTTATTTTGACTCGTTTAAACATGTATATTATGTATATTCGGTATTCAATAAAATGTGCTTTAATAATTTGTTGTATCTATTAATAAAATATATTAAAATTCTCCACCTGAAATTTAATAATCGGATGTTCTTATGATTATAATTAGCTTAAATATCTAACAGGGGAATGCGCAGATATTGTTTAATAAATATTTGTCACCATCGTCCAGCCCTATAAAAAATTTTCCAGAAAAATGATCAATGTGTCTGAGTCATTTATCGGAGTTTTTTCCAGAATTTTTTTTATAGGGCAGCCTAGGAAATAAAAATTTCATTCATTTTTTTTGCCGGAATAAAAGATTCTTTTACATATTAATTATATATATATTACGAAGCTTCATATAGTATAAATACTATATAAAAATATTTGAAAGATATATTCAAAATTTTTCATAAAAAATTTTCCGGGAAAAATTCCGATAAATGATAGTTTTCATTCAAAAAAACTCCGATATGAGATCAATTTTCTAAAAAAAGTTTTATAGAGTTTATCTGCTATTTATGCAGGAGTTCATTTTAAAAAAAAGTATATTTTTCCATATACATAAAAGAATGTCCCTTTATACAATTCCACTTTAATTTAATTGCATTACGCTCTTTGTATACATTAACACATTTGGCTTCATTGCAAGTAGTAATACAATTATGCATTTTACATATTATTTGTTTACATAGAAAGTAATTGTGTTTTTTAAAAAATTTCTATTCATTATATAAATAATGAATTATTCCATTATTACAATAAATGAAATAAAATGGAATTGAAATTGCCGATCATTTCGGCCAAAATTATTGAATTTTTCCGGTGAGTATTTGTGCACTCTATTTATTCATGTGATACAATTGTTAATCTGGCCAGCACTATAAATTCGGCCCAAGTTATTCCGTATATTACGTCTCTAAGATTTTTGCAAGAATTTTGAATTTAGCGACATCTCATAGTAGTACACAAACTATTCTACGAAACCATCCTTACTCCGTGAACTGCTGTAAATAGAGTTTGATATTTGAAGTATGAGATCATTTTTATAAAACTGTGTCGAAGAAGTCAGTTTATAATTATTTTTAATGATAGTAGATGGGTTACTGTTAATTATATTAAGGTAACCAATTGTTTTTTACTTTATAGATAAGAAATTCAAAAGTTTCTAATTCTAGAATTGGGCCGCTTTAAATAAATAATTTTTTTGTTTTTTTCGATCACATTTTAATTTGGATTAAAAAAGTTTTGAAATGTGAAGAACAAAAAATAAAATAAAATAAAATAACGATTGGCTAAATGGCTAATACTAGTTTGTCATATAAATTTGTATACTTTGTGTAAAATTTTCTTTTATTTTTTGTATTAAATGAGTTTTTTTTAGATGCACAGATCGAACAACTTCTTCTTTCTCAAATATTTTCACACTTATTAGTTTCTCCAAACCATATTTACAAAGTAACGAAGCCTTTTTTTACATTTACTAGTAAGTTATTTTGCAATTTGAAGTTTTTCTACCTTTGAGATCTGATTTTTTTCAGGAATTTTATTATTAATGCAAGAAATAGCCTCGTGACCGACTTTGTTAATAAAGTCATATCCTTAATCTTTATATGATTTTTTTTTCAAAATGCAGGATCGTTAAAGCTGTACATCTAATTGAACATTAAATATATAATGGGTAGTCACAAATCATCTTTTTTCCGTAAAAGGCTCATATTTCCGGAATTAATAACCTTGTATCACGGAATTTATCGAAGTATTTACATTTTCCGTGAATGGTTCCGTGAAAGGCTCACTTTTACGAGTTTTTACAGAAATAACAGATATAGAGATCTTAGGACCCTTGCGGTATATCCGTATTTCTAGGATTTTAATGATGATAAAAGTGACTCGACATGGATTGATTTATTTATACACAAAGCAATCAAAGAAAATAAAAAGTCACGGATTAAGCATCGTATTATACAGTTTATATTAGATGAAAATGAACTTTCTTTTATTAATTTTCTGCAATATCACAATCAACCATATATATTATTAAAAGTCATATGATTATTGAAAGTTTGTTAGTAAAATAATTATGTCGTTAACTCGTTGTTATATAGCTCAGAAATCATTGTAAATAGAATCACATTCGGAAACATTAGATCAATTGTTCCGTGCTGCCGCAATTTTTAACTCTTTAACCTCAACAAAAAATTAAGAATCAAGGTGTGTATCTATACTAATTCGACCTAGCATAAAAAACATTGAAAAAAAAAGTGTCGATTTCTAACATTTCTAATATATATTTTTTCTGATGTTTTTTCTGTTAATTAATAACCGATGAAATTGCTCAAAAAAAAAAAATTTCTAAAAAAAAATCTTAAATAAAATTCACTCACGATTCCGTTAAAGTAAAATACGAAATTTCGTAATTATAATTATAACTAAAATTGAAAATTTAAAGGTGAAAATTAAAAAAACAATCAAAGTAATACTAAATCATTTTTTCAAAAAAACGCCTATAGTTGGAGGGTTAAAAATTCCATTGCAACAGAATTATTTTATTTGTATTACAAGCTAGGGGTGGGTAAGATCATGATCATATTTGTCCTACATTACTAATTATTTTATCGTAGAGTAAAAACAGACAATAGCCTTTTCCTATTCGGTAATCTGTTGTACTCTCTGAAATATAGTGTTACAATTTTTTTTTATATTTTTTATCAGCAAAGTATATGTGATCTACACGAAAAATTTGCCAGCGAATTTAATATCTTAGATTTTAGATTATAGATTTAGTAATAAGAATAATGAATCCTAAATCTAAGAGTAAAACCCTAACCCTTCCTCCTTATGAATCGATGGGCTATACTGTATATATATTTTTTTTCTTCATTTTTTTTTTTCATATTCAAAAAAAAATAAAGAAAAAAAAGTTACTTTACATAATACGCAATATTTACTTACGCAAATTACGCAATTTACTTACGCAAAAAAAAAATAAAAAAAAAGTTTTATGTATTACTCAAAATAATCAATATTACTTTATTTACACTCAACTTATTCAAATCAACAAATCAAAAAAATTTTCTTCATTTTCTTCATATATAAAAAAATTTTAAATATATTATGCAATATTTACAACGTATTACTCAATATATACTGTAATATAATATAAAAATTTATAAATTACCGCAATATATATAAAAATTTTACACGTTACTCAAAATCAGTATATTTTACAATTTAAAATTTATTTCTTTATATAAAAAAAAAAATTTAAATCAATTTTTTTTTTTACACATTTACTCAATCAAATTTCATGTAAAAAACCGGAAAAAAATTTTTTTTTTTTTTCGCAACTTTTATTTGATTGTTCCAATTTCCATAAAGGTATAAATATATCATCAGATGATGTAAGTTGTTTACGATATAATATAAATTTTTTATATGTATTATCTATATAAAAAAGGACAAATTCGGGATGATGTGGCTTAAATAATTACATAAATTACTCGTGCTTCTAAAAAAAATTCCCAAAATAGGTATTTTTTCAAACTCCTTTATGAAAAAATAAATCTTTGGGAGTGCAAAAGCTTTAATTTAATAAAAAAACTTTTTACATTAATTAAAATATTTTTTTTTTATAATTTTCTCATGTCAAATTCATGTAACTTACAAATCAAAATCAATTTGTTGAATTCCTATTACACGTCTATTTTTACAGGAAACTCGGCTGATCAGACCAGTCAATTATGGTTTGTATGCCGAATGATAATCTTTTTTTTTTTACTACTTTCTTTAGACGGATATTTTCTCTTTGTTCTTTCAACTTTGATTCAACATTGCTGGTTCTTTTCACCTTTGGCTTCGGAACGTGAGGTTTTTTAGAATATTAACTTTATAGAAACATTTTACTGATGTTTCTTTTTTATTTGTAGGAATTGTCAGCTAGAACGAACCAGACTTTAAGGTAAAGCTGACCTACTTTTTTTATTTAATTTAAGAAACGAACTAACTTTACCAACACCCTACAAAAAAAAAAAAAAATGAAAGAAACGTAAGAAATGGTGAAGGAGAAAAATTTTTTAATGTAATTTAAGAGATGAAATGACATTTCTTTTTCATTGTCTTTTTTGTAGGATGCCGCCTTGGACATAAAACTGGATTCCAAGCTAAAAAATGAAAAATGGGGAAAGGGAAGGAGGATTTTTTTTTATTTTTAATTTAAGAAATACATTAACGTTTCTTTCTCATTATTTTCGTAAGGTGCCAGCTTGAACATAAAACTGGGCTTTATAAGGTATGAAATGGGGAGGGAAGAATTTTGTTTATTTTTAATCTAAGAAACGAATTAACATTTTTTTCGTTATTTTTTTATTTAGGGTGCTGGCCTGGTCACCTGGGGATTTCTCAACGTTGGGCATTCCTTGGACTCTCTTCTTTTGTAGGTTGGTGTTTTCGAATGGATTGGTAAGTTTTGAAGCAAATTTGAAACTTTTTAAAATTTATTTTATTTTTATTACTAAAGTTTTTTAATTTTTTAGCAAGTATTGACCCTGGATGATATGATCGGTAACTTTCAAAAGTTTCATTTTTCAAAACTTTTTAAATTTTGTTTTGAAGAAACCAACCATTTCTTTATTTGTCTATTTTGTAGGTATCATTTTTCGAATTATTATTTTTAGGTCGGACTTATGTGTTTCTTTAGATATAGCGAATTGAACTTGGAATATAGGTTTCGACTAGACTTATCTTTTCTTTAAAAAACATTTCATGGATGTCTCCCTGACTTTACTTCTACGTCTCAGCATCTTTTGGAATGGATGATTATATTTTTATACTTTAAAATGAGAGACGATTTTTAACGTTAGGATACAGATCACGTGATTAAAATTGTGAATTAATATAGACCGATTTTAGCTTTTTTATTTATTTATTTATAACTAGAAAACCAGTCAATCATTAGGATCCATATTATGAGAATATCATAAAATAAAATAATTTTTTGTTTCGTTTTGAATTTTTATAATTAAATATATATGTATGAATTTTATTGGTGCTTTTTTTTTAAAACGTCGAAACATAAAATTTAAGTTATTTAGGGGTGATGTCTTCAATTTTTCTTTTTTTTTTTTACAAAAATATGTTGTATTTACATGACTTTTTTTTTTAATTAATAAAAATTGCCTTTTTTATTATTCTTTAAAGTAATAAAGCAGATTTAAAATCGGGAATTTTTCATACAAAATAAAAAAAAACATGAAATAATCATCTATTGTTCAAATAAAAAAAGTTAAAAAGTGTTAATCTTAATTAGAATTAAGAACCTATTTTGATTTTGTTTTTATGAAGACAAAGTCTAAAACTTCATAGACTAGCTACCACTGAATCATCATATACTGTATACAGAGTGTGAATACGAAACCAGAAATCCTGATTCTGATCTATTTCCAAATAATAAAACAATCCATAACCAGCATACTGGCGGCCTTCTCTAAACTACAAAGATTATATTATAAATTTACAAAATAATATTGGCCTTGAATAGCTTGTGTACTGTGGAAAACTTCTACTTCTTTGCCTTAATAGGATCATCTAACCGTGGATATTGGATGGAAATTTATTCGCTAGTTAACTTAAAATTTTACATTCGTAAATTAATTTTTGACACAAAAAATTTTGCTATGCCGTCTTTAAATTAAATAACTTATTGTATAATTAACTTACTGTTCAATAACGTTTTACAGTCGTTTACGACAATTAATCAAATAATATCCCTTAAACGTAAATAATTCGTGGTACCATACCGTCTAAACAGATATAACAAAACTTACAAAAAATATTTTTAGGCATTCTCTTGTTTGTATCATAATATTGTATAATTATTCATCCTACGTATTCTATGTGAAGAGAAGGACTTTTCTTTGAGCAGTTTTTGAAGCTCTGAAAGGGTAAAATTAATTTTTATATCTTTTTAAATTTTAGGTCGATCGAATATGATGATTTAATACTACTGACGCTAGTAGTAGTGTAGTACAAAAAGTTTGTGTGTCAAAATTGTTTGTTTTAAATTTTCATGATACACGACATTGACAGGAGTATTACAGGCCACAAAGATATAATTAACTTGTTCTTTTGAATTTTCCTATTTCACAAACTTCAGTTGCAGTATAACAGAAATTTAATTCGTAACACAAATGCACCACCACCCTGTAAAAAAAGTCGATCCGTTTTTTATATTACATATTTTTTCCGTAAAAGGCCTCATATTTCCGGAATTAATAACCTTATATTATCGAATTATTTAAATTTTCCGTGAATGGACCCGTGAATGGCTCATTTTTACGGAGTTTTTACAGAAATAACGGATAAAATTTTTTATAGGGCCACGTGGAAGAAAAAATTGACTACTATTTTCCATTTAATTATAAATTAACGCCGATACCTTCTCTGATAAAAAATAAAGATTATCAAAGAAGTCATCTAATCTTTATATTATTTCGAATTCCAGAATTTATTGTACTTTTATTTATCGCACAGGTGATTGTCGATCAAAATAAAATTGAACGACTGAAACGATTAGTTTATCGAGAATATCTTTACTGCTAAGATACTAAAAAAACCAATTTTGTAAAAAAAAATGAAACCAATCCCTTTTATTTTATCTAAAAATAAGGACATAAGGTTGGGTTAAATGCTTTATTCTCATATTCCGGTTTTTTTTTCGCTATTAGCAGCTATTTCTTTTTTTTTTAAGGGACGCTGGAACTTTAAAAAGAACGTGTCTACTTAAACGTTGGGTAGGTGAAATCAATTATAGCCTTTATATATTGTTTAAATCCGCTTAAAGAAGCGCTACCCTTTCCAAGCCTTCCGCCTTATTTAGAGACAAAAAATGAATCTATAGAATTAGTTGAATCTCATAAGATTTAGGCGATCGACATATTTATTTTATTTTGTGCGAGTTCAACTAAATATGTCACCAATTCGTAAAACGGCAATACTCGTACTGAATTATTATTTGGTTTTATATTAAATTTTTAAATTGAGATTCAGAATTTAACCGTTGTTCTAATGAAATTTTTTTTTATTTTTTTTATTCAATTTTATATTTTCAATAAAATAAAAAACATTTGGGGATAAATAATATATTGGAAAAAGCAAAATAATGTAGATATATTTCTAATTACATTTTTTTATGTGTAGTATACTGTAAGTAAATTTACGCACTTAATAGTTAGTTTACTATAAAGTCTCTAGGCCGCGCTGATTAAAATTTTCTTGGTTTAATCCTAACCTTTAATTCTGTACAGACATTAATAAAATCAGAATTATATTTTAATGGAGCATTCATGTCAACTAATTCAATATCATATTTTCTATAAATTAATATTAATAAACATTTTAATTCTATAATTGCCAATTTTCTTCCAGGGCAAATTCTAATTCCTCCTCCAAATATTGGAAAAGTGTTTTTCATTTTTTTCTTTTCAAGTAAATATTTATCACTTTCTTCAACTCTATAAAATCTATCGGGATCAAATTTTTCAGGTTCAGTCCAATAATCTTTATGTTTCATTAATGCGGAAACAAGCATTTGAAATGTAGTTCCTTCTGGCCATTCATATCCTCCAACTTTGTCTTTTTGAGCATTTAAACGTCCAACAAAAAAAGCTATAGGAGAATGACGATATACTTCTTTGGTAACTGCATCACAATATTCTAATTCATCAAGATCTTTATTTGTTATTGGTCTTGTTAAGTCATTTCCAAGAACTCTATCAAATTCTTGTCTCAATCGTTGTTTCACTTCTGGATAATGTCCAAGATAGTATGCAGTAAAGCAAATAAAATTCGCTGTCTATGATTTTAAAAAAAAACGAGATTTTAAAAATAAGCGATGAGAATTTTGAAGCACATATTTTTAAATAAATAAAATAATTTATTAACTTACTGTATCAGTACCTCCGAGCATTGCTTCGAGTATATTACCAAAAATTTCTTTATCAGTCATTGGTCTTAATAAATCAACGTCGGCATGCTTCACAGCGTTAATATCACGTGATGTATTCGCGGTTATATATGACGTCAACATATCATGACGAAGTGGTTGATCTAATGGTGTATTTTCAATCTCAGTCCTTCTTTCTTTAATAATGGTGTATAATTTATCAAATAAGTAATCCTTATTTTTCAATAATTTCTTAGCTTTTCCACGAATGAAAGGAACATAATTACGGGTGAAATTATTAAAAGCGAAAAAGTAAAACATTCCTGCTAAATAAGTTTCAATGGATTCAATAAAATTTTTAGATTCGTTAAGTTTTTCATTTTCTTTATCATTTAAAGAATTTTTATTATCGTTAATTAACATATTATAATAAGAAGCGATAGCATCATTTTTTGTTCCGGTAGCAATTTTAAAAATCATTTCATTTGTAAATCTACGCATCCATTTTATAAAGTCTAATTCATAATGTTCTCCAAGATTATTTAAATAAGATTCCATTTCAACCCATAACTCATTGGTCCATTCAACAGCTTGACGATTGAAACTTGGAGTCATTATTGCTTGACTAAAAAATTGACGATTATATTTCCAAGATTTAGTATCATTATTAAATGCTACTCCTACGCCATCAAATCCATATTCGATAAAACCTTCCGAATTAGGTAACCTAGTAGGATATTTAGTCTTTGTTGAAGGTACATTCATATTTTCAATTAAATCGGGTTTACATAGTACTATAAAACGTTGGCCTGATAAAATTATTTCATACATATCACCATATATTTTATGTAATGATAATAACCAATCATCAAATCCATATCCAATTTGTTGATAAGCATTACCAATAATTGGAAGTGGAAATGGACCTGGTAAAGGGTTAGGACGAGTAAAATAATTATAATAAAAACGAGTTACGTAGATAATTGAAAAAACTATTAAGAGAGAAGGGATGTCGGAAATTCCGAGAGATGAGATAATTGCGGTAATCATTGTTTTTTTAAAAAATATTTAAAAGGTGAAGGGAATGATAAAAAAAAAGTTTTGAGAAAGTACGGTCCTATATATATATGATTCAAATCAAAGAAAAATCGAATTTTAAATTTATTAAATAATTTATTTACATAAAAATCAATTCGTCCCAAAAAATTTAGTTTTGAAGCAGTAAAATTAAATGCCAATCGTACCAATCGTATATTATCCTGAGTGCATGCAATAATAAATAAGCAAAACACTTTCGATCGAATTCCGGATTGGGAAATGATGAATAAATTTATTTGTCATATCTTTATAATCTTTATGTTTTCGTAAATTAAACTAACAGAAAATTCGTTTCGAAATTCCCGAAAATGTTGTGTACATAGGACAGTATACACAATATGCATTAACCAATGCATAGTTATTATTTATCTAATTGTAGACATTTAGTTCGATTAATAGAATTATAAAAATTCACAAGATAATAGAAAACTTTGCTATCATTAAATTTCAAATTTCATGTGTATTTGTTTAATTAGATAAAATACGCCGAAAGTTAAAAAAGCTAACTAAAGTTGTATTTTCATTTGAATACAGAATCCGTCGATCACTTTATCAATTTAATTAGAATTAAGTTTTTTGATTTTTGGAAATTTTTAATGAAAGATTTTCAAAAAAAAGGTTAAATTAGTAAATTAGAAGTCGGACACATTTTTCGAAAAAAAACAAGCTTTATTTTAGCAATCTATAGATAGAAAAAGTATGATAGCCATTAATTGATATTTATTTAAAGAAATTATCCATGTGAACTTTAATTCTACGAGGTTGTTTTGACGATCTTTTTAATACTTACCTTAATTGGAAACGCAAATTTTTGAGTTACAATTAATTGCATGCAATTAATTTTTAAATTAATTATTCGTTAATATTACGTTATCACACTGCTTCGTCCAATTGAAGTTAACTAAACTTTTTAAGCTTAGCATAAATTACGTCTTTGATAGAATCAGATATTTTGAAACAATTAGTTTTACCTCCGTGGATAAACAAAAAAAAAGTGCATAAAAGTAAATGAAATCTTGAGATTTTTGCTTTTAAGCTTAAAAAAAGGGGGGGGGGAATATCTGATAAAGTTTAGATACCAATTTCAAATTTCACCACTGACTGCTAATATATAGCAGTAAAAACGTAGTAAAAACGTTGTTATGTTTATCATGTGATCAAATTTGACAGGTCGGGTTTCGGCATTTCTTGAGCCGAATGTAACCGAGATTACCAATATTATTATGATATCTACAGTATTACACATTCCCTTTCATTAATGTACAATAAAAAGTTCATCCGTTATTTATGTAAAAATGAGCCATTCACAGAAAATGTAAATAATTCGATAAACTCCGTGATATAAGGTTATTAATTTGAGCCTTTTACGGAAAAAAAGGACGGAATATAAAAAACGGATCGACTTTTTTTTAGAGATAAAATTGCCAAAATATACTAATGCTATTACAATTGAAGTTGTTAATGACCCTTGCGTAAAATTTTTCGACTAATATGGTCATTTTAAATTATCGTTCTCCTTATTTGCGAAGAATTTTATTAAAAATAATGGAATTTTGGCACACAAAAAATTACCAAATATTTTACCTGAATTTTTCAAATAATCTTAAAGTGAGAGAATTGAAGTAAAAAATTTGTGATTTTTTTTTTTCTTTTTTTTTTAAAAAAAAAGAGAATCTTTTTATTTTACGGAATATTCATTTTAGATAATATCTATGAAGGAAGACTTCCTTTAGAGGAGCATGATACTTTAGATATTATTGAACTTTGGTGAACTTAATCTTCAAGAATTAATCATTGATTCACAATCATTTTTAATTGAGAACAAAATTTTATCGTGATATATTAAAATTTCCAAAATACCAGAAAAATTTTTAATTCAACGATTTTAATTCAATTCTAACAGAAAAATGTCTGATCTCACTTATTCAACAATTCAACATGACAACGAATGATATTCAAGTTTGGGAACATGCACTTTAATGGGATATTGTCCAAAATTCCGATCTTCCTTCCTTCAGACCTTCAAAATTATTCAAAAGATGATTTTAGTACTTTAAAAAAATACTTTGTAACAATTTATTCCTTTCATTAAATTTTATAATTTATGCTTAAATTATGTATGGTTGAAGTTTAATTAATAAATGTATTCTTTTATGCTTTATTACATATTGTGAATGTTTTGAATGTCTCAAGCGCTTGTCTCATTATATTAATTTTACGACCTTCTCCATATAAAAAAATCATACCTAGTAAGAAATTACGTGAAAATTTAATTAAATATTTTTTAAATCCTAGTAAAAATCTAACAAGAATTTTGTGATGATCTCATAATATAACAATTATTAAAGTGAAAGATAGCAATGAAATTCTTGGGGATATAATCCGATCGTATGGAAGTCTGGTGGCTGATATGGCATCACTGAAGATAGTTTATCATATTCACATTTAAGAACGAAAATTATATTTAGTCGAATATCAGTTGTAATAATCAAATCGGTTACGGTCCATCATACTGGTTGCGACCTTAAATTTGTGGAATAGTTTATATTATTATACCGGACGTTATAACAAATCAATTAGAGAAACTATCCTGTAAAAAAAGTCATTCAGTTTTTATATTCCATCTTTTTTTATCTTTTTTTCCGTAAAAAGCTCATGTTTCCGGAATTAATAACCTTATATCACGGAATTTATCGAATTATTTATATTTTCCGTGAATGGACCCGTGAAAAGCTCATTTTTACGGGAGAAATAACGGATAAAATTTTTTATAGGGCTAATGGACACTTTTTTGTAGAAGAATATGAAGTATTTCTAATTATGAAAAATTGATTCATATTTTTGATGCCAGTATAATATATGTATAAGTATTATTTATTAATTGTTGCGACAATAACTAAAATGATATTTTATCATTTTCAGTAATTACGAATAAGTAATTTAACATATAGTATTTATATATGTTATATATGGTATTTTATATGAGATTAGCAAGTAATAAAAATTGATAATTATTATTTATATCTTTTCTAAGACAAATCTATATTTTGTATTTTAGTAGTAAAATTATTTATAATAATATATTTTGAAGCTTGATACTAAGGTGATAATTTAAATAATAAATTTCTTTAATTATATGGTTGGTAATATTGATTTATTAGTTTTAACATGTTTAGTAAATAATTCAAATATACATTTCTAAATCCTATTATGATGATAGTGAAATCTGTTATAAAGAAAGTATATCCGGAACATTCAGATTGTTATTATCTTCAATAGATTCACCATTTCACCTCCCCGTCAGTGGTATATCAGATACCACTCAGAAACCTCAAATGATATATATATTATATAATTATATTGAGATCCTTTAGTCGTTCTGGAGGTTCTGATAACGTTTGTTCTGACGACTTACATCGCTCCGCTCAAATCTTTATAGCAACCGTCAATTCAAAATAGTAAATTTCGTATTAGTCTTAATTTGAAAATTAACAAAATTTTTTATACTCTGTATGATTATAATAAAATTAACTTTGGTAGTTACTTTCTCCAATTTTCTTACGAAAGGGCAAACCTTTGTGAGTGTAAGTAAGAAAGTTTAAGTTTATGATATTTCAATTATTTCTCCAAAATAAATAAGATATGTGCTATATAACACGTGATCATCCTGTGCTTCGGTGTTTCTCGGACCGAAATACCACCCGAACCGAACAATAAAATATAAGGTTAGGAACTTCACATTTTTTTTTTTTCATTTCTTAAAGGTACGAAATTCGATTATAATGTGCGATAATAAATTTTTGCCAAAATTATCACAAAATTTACTAGAAATTTTAGAAGATAATGAATTTTATGATATAACTATTGAAGTTGGTAATGACCCTTACGTAAAAATTTTTCGAGCTCATATGGTCATTTTAAATTATCGTTCTCCTTATTTGCGAAGAATTTTATCAACAAGCGTTAATAAAAATAAAAATGATGGAAGTTTGACACATATTAAATTACCAAATATTTCACCGGAAATTTTTCAAATGATCTTAAGGTGAGTAAAAACTTAGCGTTTTTTTTAAAAAAAAAAGAGTAATTTAAACTTTACGGAAATATTCAAATTTTTTTTTTCCGTTTTAGATATATTTATGGAGGAAGTCTTTCTTTAGAGGAATATACTAATACTTCGGACATAATTAAAATTTTGGTCGCTTCCAGTGAACTTAGTCTTCAAGAATTAATCACTCATCTAGAATTATTTTTGATAGAAAAAAAAAAAAATTGGATGGAACAAAATTTTAACTTGATATATAAAATAAGTTTTGAGAATGGCTCTTTCTTGGAATTGCAAAATTTTTGTAGAGAATTAATATCTAAAGAACCAGAAAAAATTTTTAATTCAAAAGATTTCAATTCAATTTCAGAAAAATGTCTGATTTCACTTATTCAACACGATAATATTCAAATGAATTATATCAAAGTTTGGGAACATGTACTTAAATGGGGTATTGCTCAAAATCCTGAACTTCCTTTAGATCCTTCTAGTTATTCAAAAGATAATTTTATTACCTTAAAAAATACTTCACAACGTCTTATTTCTTCTGTCAATTTTTATAATTTAA